TAGTTGAATAGCCCTGATTTACCCTTTTATCACTATTACAAATGAGTCATGGTCGATATAAATTTGCCTTTTAAAAACACCATCTTCAGTGACAATGTGAAAACTGATATCTGCAGAGTGATTCAGATTAAATAAAAAATAATTCAAATAATGCAAAATAAATGACTGAATAAATACACCCCCATCCCCAACTTAACATTAGTATAGTACAAGTATCTTTGACTGTTTTGCATTACATAATTATTTGCATTAATATTCTGTTTAAGTTGTTTTCAACAGCTGCTAGCAGCACCTAGCTTTAGCACATCCAGTGATGCCCCAGGCACGTTTGACAGGAATATCACTATGTTTCTGCTGAAATACATGTATGTTGTGAAATCGACAGCAGTGTAAAAATTATCGCATGAACCACTGTAAAATTACTGACACTGAAGTTTGTTTAAAACAGAAGAAGTTCACTGTTTTGTCTTGGCAAGCTGTTTGAACCGGCTTTTCAATCTGGTCAGAACTACTGCATTAACAGCATTCCATTCATAGAGCTATTTACATTAATTGTTCATAACGTGTCCACATATTTTCACTCTAGAAGATCTGAACTATTTAAGGATTTATACAAACCAGGGCTGAGTAGTTTTATTCTTATAAAATATGGTCATATACAGATTTGTGGTCAATCAGAAATGAACAAAATCATGGTGCATAGTAAATAGGATTCTGACCATGGATAACTTTAACACATTATTTATTATAATTCTAAAACATACACTGAGGAATATAACAGTAGTTTACACCAGTCTCACAAAGAGACACATTTGGCATCTGTCATCCGGCATATAGTGTCTCGCAGACCTGCCTGTTATTTTCTTAGCATGTATTAAGCCATATGTCAACCAGCCTCACACTTTATTATACTATAATAAAGTGTGAGGTTGGTTGTACAGCACCACAACACCTGCACTCAAACTCAAAGCAGCTGATTATCCACTTCCATAGCACTAACATCTGAGCTTTTACTTGTCTAACATTTAAAAATGGCATAGAGAGCATCAACTCTACATCAGAAGGTCTTATATGTAGTTCATTATTGTGAATCACAGCCCTGCTCTTGCTCTGATGTCTCCACCAGGTTGAAAAAAAATGCTTCAAAATTAGACCTGAGGAGAAACTGGGGAGTTTAATCATCCAGGATGTGTTTGGTTTGTTCAAAATGTTTTGGTTTCAATCTAAAGTACGTTGGGTATCCAAATTATCCAGATGGTCCCTTTTCACTTAGGATATGTATTTTTAAATATAATAATATGTTTGAGTCTATTGTTCTGTTTATCTTTTTCTTCCATATGAGTCACTATGATTGGACTAATAAGCAGAAACGGTGGATRTTTGCTGCAGTGGTGACAGAACAATTAGTAAAACAAATGATTAGATGAGGCTGCCCTCATGATGCAAGCCCTCTTCAACTGCTGTCAACAATTTCATTTAAAGAATCCACAATTTTTAGTGAAGATACAAGTAGATTATTAATTCAGAAACCGAGCCAGCCTCCTCAGACGGGTCTTTATTTTTGTCAAACATCATGCTGGTCCAGCTCAGGGGTCTCTTTGTTCCAGCTGCCACAGCAGATTTGGGTGTCTGTACGGAGGCCTGTCAGAAACAAGCTTATCTCTTGGGGGCCTCCCAGCACAAAGACCTATTTAGATGCTCACAGCGAATGAAATCTTCATTATATACCTCTTGAAACAGAAACAGATCTTTTTTTTTTCTTTGGACACAAGTGGTTTTTTTTTTTTTTTTTTTTTGGTTATAAACAAAGTCTTAAAATACAGGACAGGAACCTGTGGACCTCATATGTTTGATATTTATTAAGCAGGGCGATTCTGACATGTCAGTTCGGTTTAACTCTACTATAAATTAAGACTTAAACATCATCACACATAAGTTAATCCACTGCTTCTMTACCCAAGTTTTTTTCCTCATTAGTTTTCCCTAAATGGTCTAATTAAGTTGTACGAATGGAGGAAATTATGAGTTGATATGATCAAGATATTCATCCATCTAATTATCATTTATCCATCCATCTATCCACCCATCTGCTGGTCTTTGCTAGTCATGCCTCTAGTAAGAGTGTCAGTATATCTGCCATGGCGTCCTGCTGATGTGTATTGTGATGGTGTTGAATACTCCAGCTACCAATATGGCTTGCACCAATACTGGATTAGCCACAGTGGATTAGCTGGCTGCCCTCCTGCTGCTTATTCAAATATTGTTTCACGTATTGTCATCATTGGGGCAGCACTCCGGCCCAGGAGCCTGCAAGCTACAGAATATTCTCAAAGCAAACCCAGCAAAAAATGTGGCTTCGAATTCCCCACAAAAGCAACTTATTTCATCTTTTAACAAATGTGCTCTTTGGGGGAATGAGGACTCGGTGGAATCGTCTGAGGGGTTTGGAGAGCATCTTTAACCTTGGACGGCATAAAAAAAAAAGACGATGGAAAGATGATGGTGAGCAAAACCCAAGCAAGGCCAAAAACAGGCATGAAAGCACGCCTTGATCTTTGATACATGGTGTTATTCTTTTTTTTTCCTCTCTCCTTTTCTTCCTTTCACCCTCACACATACACTTGGGAGTCAAGGCAATTGCTGTGCTGGCTTTGATGGCAAAGAGAGGCCTATATTAACAGCCAAAAGACCATGATGAAAGGGCTGAGAAAAAGAAGGGAAAATGGGTATAAAATGTGATATCAAAAAGGAACGGCAACTCATGGTAAATACATRGGATGGAGTGAGAGAAACCAGACATCGGGGTGTTGAGAGTTGAAGGTTTGACGGCAGCGGAGAAAAGGCGGAGGGCTTACCGTGTTAGCCTGGCGGCAGTGATGGCTGAGGTTGGCGTAGTGGTTCCAACATGTAATGTTGTTGGTCATCCTGTCAGGACAAATAAAGGGAATGCACTTGCTGCGTGAATTTGGTCCCTCCTGGTGATCCGGAGGTCTGGACGCCAGTGGACGTCCCATGGCAGAAGCAGTCGCCATCTTTGTCCTGTTGTTGTCTTGGATATCCTTTCTTGCGTCCTCATCCCTCCCTCTCCTCTTTGATCGTGCCTCCCTCCTCTGCCGTATGACATCATCACGCAGCGCTATCGACAAACATCAAAGAACCTCAGATGCTTGCCACCAGCGTTATGCGCCTGTCGGTCCGTGCATTTGAAGGAGGTGTAAACATGGGGCAAAAAAAAAGCAGTCCTGTAACCCCCCCTCATCCACTGCTCTCCTCTTTTTGTAAAGAGATGGTTTATTAGGCCGATACAAAACTATACACACACACACACCCACACCACCCAACTCTCAGACGGGTGTATCCCGAGGCCCCCTGCTGTGCCAGCAGTGTTTGATGATGTGTTTGAACAGCTTTATTCATTCCCAAATCCAAGTCTTTTTTTCTTTCAAACTGATTTCATCCTTTTTCTTCATCTCTCCAAGCTGTTGCAGCAAAGCAAARTTGTGTTTTTGGGTTTACTCTATGGCTTAAAAGACAATGCGCCCCTTGCACTGTCACCCCWCCTTAGTCCCACTTTTGACTCTCATCCCCTGCTTTCACTTGCCTCYTACAGCTGGTCCGTACCATTTCCAATCCTGTTAAAGCTGTATGTCCTCTTAAGGAAGCCCTTCTGTCTTTTTGACATCTGTCTGAAAACTACATGTTTTACTGTCACACACTGTGGCAGCTTCTGTCCACCCCAAGAAGCTCTTCCTCCAAAAAACACACTTAATTCCCAACAGAATGAGTAGCTTATGTCAAACAATAGGCAAAACATGATGTGATGAATGTCAACATGTAGAGAACAGGATTTTTTAGAACTGTACTGAAAAGTTAATAATAAAGTCATAGAAGTTACTTCATTTATGCCCCAAACAGCGCCGTTGGTTACATTGTTTTGCTTTTGCTTTATGTGTTCACAGACCCACAAAAATATTGTAATGAGCTAGAGAAGTTTACAATTTTTTGAAAGTGAACTCATGGGTATTAGGTAAGTCAAGTGGCGGTAGAATAACCCATCATTTCCACTTCACCAATCAGGACATTTCTTGTATTGTTCTATTTTTTATATTTTACTTTTCAAGGTGTGAAAATATGACCACAGTACATTCTGTTTTCTTCACAATGCTTTTATCTTTGCTAAGATTATCTTGATTTATTTATGCAGCATAAAATTTCTGATCAGCAAGCAGGTAACTAAATAAAAAGAAAGAAGATACTGGTGATAGTAAAACAAATTTAACTTCAGCTAATAGCAACATTTTTGTCATTTTAGCTAATTAGGTTTTCACCTTGATTTCTTTGTTATCGCCCAACTCCGTGAATCACTGGATGTTTTTAATTAAACTCTAAGAAATTGATCGTTAGATGTACATTTACAACTGATTCACTTTTGGAGTCAAACGGATTCATGATTGACCTTAGCAGACACAGAACTGACTGTAACTCAGAGAATTTTACAGATTTAGAGCTAAACTTTGGTGTGGTAGCAACTGTTAGTCATGCCCAATACATACTCCGATGGTTATAAAAACAACAACAACAACAAACATCCTCAAATACATTGCATACAAGTTGCAATTTCAGCAACATGACAGCTTAGCAGTTAGCTGCTTCACAGAAGGTCCTGGCTTCAAGCTATGGGTGAGTTTGCATGTTCTCATGTTTGCATGGGTTTTCTCCAGGTGCTGCAGGTGCTCCGGTTTCACCCCACAGACCAAAAAACATGCATGTTTATCCTTAAGACGCAGGCTTCCCTCAAAAAAAAAGAAATATGCAATCTCAGTTGGATTTTTCTGATTAAATAAAATATACTTTATTTTTAACGTTTTGTATTGAAAGGCTGTGCACATTTGCTGTTTATGTGGTTCACATCAAACAAATGTGTCTCCAAATAACAACTTTATGAGCACTTTTAATTGTTTTAGAGCTAGTCTGTATAGATAAATAGGTTGAATCACAGCTTCTTTCCTCAAGCTGTGAAAGCCATTAACCCCAGCCATCAGTCATCATGCATGGATTCTACTGCACATGTATAGATTATTTATTTATTTATTTATTTATTTATTTATTTATTTATTTATTTATTTATTTATTTATTTAATTTTTTTGTTATATTTTAAAAATTGCTGCCTGTGAGAGGATGCTAAACTGCATTTCACTGTTTTAACACTGTCCTTGAACATTGTTTTTATCAGCGACAATAAAGCTATTCTATTCTATTCTATTCTATTCTATTCTATAAAATGTTACTTTTCAAATCAGACATTTATCTTTTAGCTAAGCAAAGCAGAACAGCTTAAATTAACCAAGCATAAGCAAAGCCAAATCAGTGCAGTAACATATTTTTGTCATATATCATATGTTMTGTTACACAATAATGTTTCTCCCTGTGTTTTTTTTTATATGTACAGCACTTTGGTCGGTGGGTGTAGTCCTTTAAARCTGTTATGGTAAATAAAGTTGAGTGAAAATATTCTCCATGTATGATTGAGCTTTATACAGTATAATAAACTAATCTTTCAGGTCTCAGTGATCTGCTTTGTCTCCATCACCAGTTAGACATGAAGATCACGTCCAAGTTGCGTCTCTTTGTCTCTTCGCTTTCCTCGTTTCTATTCATGYTGTCACTTTGCAAGCTGCCTGCTGATTCTCTGCCCCCACATGGCCTCCCCTGTCTAACAAATTGTCAAGGTTCTTGTTACAATCATGTTTAAAATGTGTCTCCTTACAGCAAAAGCTCTTCATTTAAAAGTAAAACACCCTCACCAGGAAGACTTAGCATTCCAGTTAAAATCAAGCGTTCCTTTTTTTTTTCACCTTATCCACCTACAAATTGCATAAACACTCATTTACATTCAAAAAGCATCTCCATCCTACGTATTATGAAAACTCATTTCACTGCTTCTCAAGAAAAAATAAAACAACTTAAATGTTTTCTTTTTTTAACACAAATTACTTTCCATAATCCCAATCAACCAAACCCGTGCTGATTACTTGCCTTCAGGGGAAAACAACCAGAATAGTTTTGAATCAAYGTGAATGCTGTTGGCCTACCTGTAGGACTGTTGGGGGCAACAGCTAATAGCAGTGAGCTGACAGGCTGTGGAGGGTTGATAAGCATTTTCTCATTGTTCCACAGAGCCGGCTGCCGCACATGGAATACTCAGACAGCCACACAAAAGTCCACTCTGCCATATTTGGGAAAACAACAGATGATAATGGACAAATCATCTGTTTTTATATGACAAAAGACAAGCATCTGGAAAACTGACACACATGCATGAGTTGGTGGACAATAGCTTTGCATTAATACAGCAGTTTGGCAGGAGTCAAAATGCATTTTTTTTTTTTTTTGCAGAACTCAGTGGTTATTTTTGTGGATGTAATTTTTTATCTGGCAAATACCACTGTYGGGGTCTTTTAGTCAGTCTTCGTCCATGAGTAAGGACTGAGCAAGATGCCAAAAAAAGAAAAATAAAGTAAGAAAAATAACAGCGCTATACTGTAGTTGTTTCCTCGCTACTTTTACTGATGACTCTCCTGTTTCCTTCTTGTGGCTGGATAAAACAACAGTATGTGGAACAAAAGAATAATTCAGCACAATWTAAATTGAGTCTATAATAAAAATAATGATTATAATTACTAATAATAAAATAACTAACAGTGTAATATGTAAAGAGAATACTGTTCATAAGGCAAGTTAAACTTCCATAATGGGACACTTTAGATCTTTTAAAGGAACGTGGTTGTAAACAATATCTTACTTGTTGGGGATAAGGGGGGGTGTAAATCCACAGCTTTATCACAATATGATCTATTAATTTGTTTGGATGACAATATGATGTTTCTCAATATCACAAAGTCTGCTATGATATGATTTTGATTCAATTCAATTCAAAAGTCTGCGATCAATACGATGTATTACGCTCACCTATTGCAATCAATTGTGTTAAATGGGCTTAAAATGTCATTTTACATCAGACATATAATAATGATATGGATTGATGTTTTGGCTTTGCCTTGATGTATTTGAATCATTGATCATTTAATTAATATATTGACGTGGATTGATGTGTTGTTACAACCCTAAAGACAGTACCTCAATGATCAGAGTTACTTTGGAGAAACAGATTTTCATTCTGACCAGATTGACAAGCTAATGGCTAATCTGAGCGGGACCAAAGTGGATTTCTTCTGTCCTAAAACACCTCATTTATTTAACATTTCATTGCATTTTGTGAAGATTTTTACACGTCACTTTTTTAAATAAATGATATAAAATTGCCCCAGGCTGCATCAAAAGTGCCACAGACCAAATATCATGTAAATAATTTTAAGACGTCTATGAATGTGTGATGTTTGGAAGTATAAAAATCACATTTTGGTTGTGTTTTCGACAATCCAAACAGATGGGTAGATGTTTCCCAGAATACACACTGATTTTTATTAGACTTCAAATGCCAAAACTTTAAATTTAAAGCTCTTATCAAAACTGCAAAGCTGTGTACTAATGTTTACCTTGGAAAGGTAGAAATGGTAGCAGAAATTCTATTTAAAGGTCCTGTCTCACTATAACATTTTAGACAACTTATGAAATTTTTAAATGTCTAAATTACTAATAAAAGTTATATATTATATATTACAGTATGTACATGCCTAAAAGAGGCTTCCAGTTGATTTTTTAAATCAATCTTCAACGTAGATGTCGTGAAATGTTTTATAAATTGGCATAAGTTGTCTAAAACTTTTTAGTGTGAAAATAAAGAAATCTTGCTCTCAAATTGAAAACAACCTTGAGTTATGACAGGACTTAAAATGCAGATATCTCACAAACAGGACTGCATCGAAAGAGAAATAAACTTAGAAAAATTATCATCTACAAAGTTTATTAAAATACTTACAGTGCTAAAGWTTGTCCTTGAATTTTGGTCAGTGCATTTGCAGTTTCCGGTGTTTTCATTTCAACCTACAATAKGTTCAGATTAATGTTATATATTTATACTGTAAACCAGTTGAGCTGTCATATTTTASCAAGTGGACTGGTTGAGTGCTTTGTATGTTTGGTTAAAAAAACAGTTTAATAACAGGTATATAAGCTACCAATCAAAGTACAACGCTTGAGTTCGAGGGGCTTCATGGTTAATTCACGCATGTAAGAAAAGGTCAAATAACACCTGCAACCCTCGATGAGGTCTGAAACCCTGAGACGTGGCGTGCTCCTTCTGCGAGGAAAGAACGAATGCTGCAGTTGTGAGGTTTGAGGCTATTGTCTGGTTGAAGTGAAACAAATGAGACCCCGGAGAGCTCCACTTAGCTGCTCATAAAGGTCAGATATGGAATCACACCAGTGGATGCTAATCCTGACCCCTCCTGGGACGGTGTGCACGTGGGCCTGTGGATGTGATTGTTTCACACGACCAGTGACATTTAAACCTGAATGAGAGTCCAATCCTGTGTGGCACAGCACTGCATGTGTGTGTGTGTGAGAGAGAGATACACACCTTTGAATGGAAACCAGTGGGCTTTAGTGCCCACTGTGGTTTAATTAGAAATAACCTTGAGGGCAATTAAAACATCAGAGGCTACTTTTAAATGGAATAATTTTAGATAATAATAGTCTCCTTTTATTATCATGCACCTGGCTGAACATTCAAACTGTTTTTAAATTACCTAAATACTTTAATTTCCTCCAAWTGCTATAAAACGTTTTCAATAAGTGCATTCATTACCAGTAATACTAATAATGAAAAACTCATAGGAAGTTGTATTTGAATGTTCTTTATTTGCATCAGCAACATGAGAAATGTAGCATACATAATAATAAGGAAACATTGCGTGTTGGTCATTACACAGACTAGTTACACAGTTTAATTGGTATTTTTCTAATAATAAACAGCAGCAAACTGAAACCCTCTCCTTCAGGTTAGAGCTGCAGGCTTGTCAGCAGGTCTCTGAGCCACCTGAGAGCCAGAGATGGCGGTGCAATTTGTGACTTTCAGCAGAACGCGACGAAGATAACGACTGGTGGGTCGCAGCGGCAGCTCGGCCCGAGTGTAATGAGCAGAAACAGCAAACCACAAATTAGTGAATGTGTGTGTGACAGACAGAAAACAAGAACTGGAGGGTCCTTATTATAATTAATTACAACCATCCAGTTCAGGCAACACACTACTGTTAAGTTAGGCATTTCTCAGTCTGTCTTCACCGAAGACATTTAGTTTTGTGTTGATAAAAATCTAAAAACAAAAATGTAATATGGTAGTCTCTGCACATTCAGAAATATGTGTGAATATTGCAGCTTAAACCATACGACAAGACTTGAACATAAGATGTTTCACAACCTCTTGTAAACAATCCAAACACACGCAGAAAGAATCGTCGTTCTGGTAACCGAGTACTTAAAAATGACCTCTTTTAACCATGCCTGTAGATTCAAACCTATTCCAACTTTTTAAAATGTATTTCAATTCCTTCATTATCAAAGGAGTTGCCCCATGAGCAAATTATTAAAGAAATGTCAACTTAAAGACTTCCTGTACCAGAAAGCATGAATTTCATCTGGTTTATGTTTCAGTTTGATACAAAATTAAGGGCATTATATTTCAAATGTAGATAAAAATCTATTACACACACACACACACACACACACACACACACACACACACACACACACACACATGTGTGTGTATATATATATATATATATATATATATATATATATCAGCAGTGGTGGTCAGAGTAAAAATAATACATTAGAAACATTTGAATATTCTGCATTTATTATTCTGTGTGAGTGATTAAAGCTATAGTTCAACTCTTTTGAGGTGTGGTTATGTGAAAGTTACAAACAGTATCTTACCTGTTGTATATGGCTTTTTGAATAACCTTGGTTTTACGGTTTTTTCTTCTTTTGTTTTATGACCGGATTGTTGAGTTTACGGCTAGTCTGAGGCAACCCTCATGCAGACTAGCCAGTAGCTCATCTATCCGGTCAGAATGAAGTTTAATTTTTTTTTCAAACTKTGCCCATCCAAAGAGCCACCTACAACAGGTAAGATATTAATTGTCCATAACTTTTCCACAAAACTATCAGTTTGGTGGGATCTTGTTTTATTTGGAATGTGTTGTTGATTTATTGCTTTGCTGATCATTTCTTTGTTCTTATGTCTAAAGCTGTGCCTGGTTCTTTCTTTGCAGTGAAAACAGGGTGGCCTGTAAATATTTACCACAATTTTATATGTTTGCATTGTCCTTTGGCTGAATAAAAGGAATTCAAAATAAATTTATTATTTGGTGAATTACTGCTCAGAGTGGTGTCATTTAATATTTTATAGATTGTGTGGTATTATTGGGTACAATTGTGCCAAATCTTTATTTTAGGATTTATAAAAAATAATTATGTATTAAAACCTCAACTTAATTCTATGAAACAGCTTTGCTTTCCTGCATCAGGCACAGGGGGCATTGAATCTGTGCAGCGTACACTGAAATCTCAAGACTATCAAGGCATTCTGGAGAGAAATGTGCTGCCCAGTGTTAGAAAGCTTAGTCCTCCAACAGGATAATGACCCCAAAAACACACAACTAAAGACACCCAAGAATGGATCAGAATCAAACATTGGACTTTTCTGAACAGTCTGAGTCCTGATCTAAATTCAAGCATCTGTGGAAGGAGCTGAAACATGGCGTCTGAAGAAGGCACCCTTCAAATCAGAGACAACTGAAGCAGTTTGCCCATAGAGTGGGACAAGATACTGCACCTGTGGACAGGTGCAAAGTCTCACTGACAAATAAGGAAATCATTTGATTGCAGTGATTGCCTCAAAAGGTTGCGCAACAAATACTAAGAAACAGAAAGCATAAATTTTGTCCAGACCTGTTTCATTAGTTTGATTTTTTTTAAACTGTTGAATCACAATTCAAAAACAATGTTTGATTTTCTTTGGTTCATTTTTATTTATTATAACTTTTGTCAGTTTCAAGTTATTTCAGTGACCATTGTGGGTTTCTCAGTCATTAGGGTACCAACAATATTGTCCACATGTAAAATATTTAGATACATATAATTTTCCTTCAGCTTAAAAATGCTAAAACCAGCAAACACAAAGGAAATCAGTCAAAATATTTTAATTGAGGAGTTAAGGAAACATCTACAAAAACAAACATCCCAAATAATCAGAACAAAACTCTCAAAAAGAAATAAAGATTTCTATTCTCTACCAGCTAAATGACAGATATCTCCCTTATATTTAATGTTGTTCATTTGTTGTGTAAAAATGTCAAAACTAGGATAATACCAACATTAAAATTCACATTTAACATAAAAASCACCATTTGTGCGTTAAGAGTCCTGGTTCAAGATGTTGATATTTTTCTTTATTTATAAAAACTAGTTTCTGTAATGGACAGCTGTCTTTGGTTTCAAGTGAATCTTCTCTTTGTAGGTTTATACAAAACAAAACAAAACAAAACAAAAACATTAAATTACATCAGGATCTTTTTGACCATTTAGCTAGTTTTGAAAGCAAAACTTTATGTTGTGACCATAAAAAAAATTAGATCACGTCTAGTCTGATCTCTTAATATGTAAGCTATTACTCCCCATCACCTTCATCTTTTTCAACCTCTTCATCTTCATTTTCACCCATGTTAGCCTCACATTCACTTTTATTAACATCCTCATCTTCACCTTCCCCCTTAACATCATCTTCACCTTCTCTCCTAACATCATCATCTTCACCTTCCCCCTTAACATCATCTTCACCTTCTCTCCTAACATCATCATCTTCACCTTCTCTCCTAACATCATCATCTTCATCTTCTCTCTTATTAACCTCCTCACTTTGAGCTTCAACTTTACCCTCCTCATTGTCCTGTGATTCGGCTTTGCCCTCATTCTCCTCCGTTTTGCCCCGTTCTACACCTCCCTCTCCCTGTTTTTCTTTGCTCTCTGCAACGCTCCCATCCGTTTTTGTCGTGGTCCCATCAGTGTCGGGTCCATCTTTTACGATTTCAAAAACATTGTACTTCCTGAACAGTTTATAGTCTTTAACCACACCGATGCAACACACATTCTTGATGATCTCCACAACCACTACGAACTCGGGGTCCACCAGATTCGCCCTGTTTTGGTAGTTCAGCTTCCCCAAAACACCTAAATGTGGTGGGAAAAAAAATAAACATGTTAGTTTTCTTCATAATGAGCGCAACAATCATGCACGACACAGGTTCGGGTCACTTTTCCCTACAGTGTGAACGAAGGCTACCTGCAATGTTTTTAATGATTTCTTCTCTCTTGTGCTGGTTGTTGTTGCGAGCCTTGTAGGCGACTTTAAACGTTGCACAGTTTGGAGCTTTAAACCAAGGTTCCAGGAATGTGGTCATAAATTTCAGTATATCTTCCTCATAAGGCCTGCATGTTCCCATGACCTGGAGCAGACAAAAAGAGGACGATGTGAGAACAGTTTTTATTTCAAAGCCACACAAGTTAACATGCAGCTAACAGAATGATTCATCACCCCTCGACTTAGTGTGTGTTCTAAAACTACAAAGTTAGAACAAAAGAAACAAAGTTAGCCTGTAATAAATCTTATCTTACCGGCAACATGCGAAGGATCAAACGTGACTTTTTCTGCTTGGTGGTATGGAGATCACTCATAATGTAATGAATCAATCTRTCAGGCTCTAGGAGAGAAAGAGAGATAAATTTAAAAAAAAAAGGTTTATCACAATAACATAAAATACTCATCCTGCTGTCAGTTTTAAAAGCCTTACCTATATTTCGAGTTCTGATGAAGATGACATTGTACGCGCCGCTCTCGATGACCTGGAAGCGCCTCTCCTGATCCGTTTTGTGTGCTTTCAGTTGAGCAACTTCATTCTTCAGGGCAACGTCCACATCTTCTTCTTCACTCTCACATTGTTCACTGTGTCCAAAGTGATCCGGAAACTGTCATTCAAAGTGGCATGCTATGAATATCAATTTGAAATAAAACTGCAAACTTCTGCTCCTGTTGCACGTCAGGAAACCAAACTAATTTTAGGATTACATCCAAAAATAAATAAATAAACAAATAACTAAATAAATAAATAAAATTCATGGCTAAATGCAGTCATTCACTTAAAATAATTATTCAATCCAATTTAAATTTTTATGCAAAAAATACGTTAAGATTCTGAAAAAAACATACATTTAAGTGCAGCATCATGCACGAGATAAAACAAAGACCATTTAAAATATTATTCAGACTGAATCAGCCATTGATTAACACCTAAAGTAGGTCAGACCAGCCAGAATAAGAAGTGTGTGTGTGTGTGTGTATATATATATATATATATATATATATATATATATATCAGCAGTGGTGGTCAGAGTAAAAATAATACATTAGAAACATTTGAATATTCTGCATTTATTATTCTGTGTGAGTGATTAAAGCTATAGTTCAACTCTTTTGAGGTGTGGTTATGTGA